ATCAGCACTTTACGCCTTTTAAATTATTATTATACATATATTTAACTAGCATTGCCCGCGGCTCCTCCCGCGTTCAGATGACCAAAAACCAAATTCTTAGGTTTTACATATTAGTATACTCTTACATTGCAGTTTTTGTATTTTTTCTTAGAAATGAGATATTTTCCCGCGATAAAAAGTATCGTATATGTTGACCCGAATAACTAATTATCTCCATACCAAATTTCATCAAAATCCCTCGAGTGGTTTTTCTGTTATGCGGTAACAGACAAACAGATAGACAGACAAAAAATTTAAAAACTATGGATTCGGCCTATGTATCGATAATAACTTTTATTTAAATAAGATTTTCCAAAAATATTTAGTGTACAGATTCAGCTTAGTTACAATTTTATTATATGTATAGGTGACAATAATTCAAACTGCTGACATTCGTGTTTCAAATAAATTCGAACATTGGGTAGCATCTTAGTCAGTGAAGTGTGATATCTTCACACTTCAGGATTATTAATATCACTTATATTTTCATACATTTAATGAGTATTAAAAATTAAATTATTATTAAGTTAACATATAATATTATGAATAAATACGAAATATAGGTATTCTCCTTTTAATATTAAATAATACTAGTTTATGCAGGCGGCTCCTTTCACATGATTCGTAGAATAAAAGATAGTCTATAGATATTCGTCTCCATCCTATAGAGGCCTAGGCCTTATATAGATAGCCTAGTAACAAAATCTATTCAGCATTTTTAGCGTTACAAGGTACAAACACACAGTCAATTATAGTTTTAGTAAGAGGTAAATAGTGAGGTGTGGTGTGATACAAATCAAAAATTTAAAATCTAACAACACACAAAAGAATAGTTAAATATTTATTTTTCATTTTACAACCCTGTTATTAAGACATGTGTTGATTTAAGACGGATATATAATTAATATAATGAATGAATATGTGTATAAAGATTAATATTTGTAATATAAAATGAATATTCACCATTCCCTTGAAGAAGATAAAATAAGGATGGGCCATTGATTTTATAATATTCGCTCAGCTAATTGAATTAGACCGGAAAGCCAGTGGTCGAACATTAAACAAAAGATAAATTACCTAATTCCACGCTTTACGCTAGTAAATTATTATCTAAGCTATAAGCCGTAAATTATTGGAGTTGTTCTTACGATAATTACGTCTAACACTTCCTTTGTGATGTTGAGTTCTGTTCGTTCATTAATCAACGATTGAATTTTCAACGTACGATGAGATTATTAAGTTTTAAAATAATTGAGTTAAAGTTAACGTATTTAATCTGAATTAATCATTAATTTGTATATAATTATAATGCAATCATGTCTTCTTATCTTGACGACACGTTTGGCTCAGTTTGTAGTGACCCTACTTGCTGCGCCAGCGGTCGCGGGTTCGAGTCCCGCTGGGGGCATTCATTTGTGTGCTGAGCACGAATGTTTGTACTCCAGTCATGGTTGTTTATATTTATAATATGTATGCATTTAAAAGTTATGTATGTGTAATTTATCAACTATCTGGTATCCATAACACAAGCCTCGTAGCTTACCATGGAACTAGATGGTGTTGTGTTTTAATGTTCTTTTTTTTTTTTTAACGTTGGGAAATGCATTTACGCACGACGTGTGGGACTCACCGGCGTAATACAGCCAGTACTACCCACTAAAACCCAACAAAACCTTCCCCCGTCTTAATGGGGCGTCGCAGGATCGCTTACGCATTCAACTACGACGCCCCGACGGCAGGTCTGCCGAAGCAGACCACCACAACCATGGGGTTGCTCCAAGGTCCACTCTGCTATCAGAGAAGTACCAGGAGCAACCCGCAAGGTACACCGCCCCCCGAAGAGGGCCACCTCACACCGCCCACCGAAGTGGGCAACCTCCCTGTGCGTTTCTTAGCTTCGCTACTACTACTGAGCCCCCCCACCACGACAAGGTGAACGCACGTTGGGGGGGGGGTGTGTTTTAATGTCCTGACATATGTATATACATCATAATTATCAGTTTTAAAATAACAAGAAGAAGTTTTTATGATTTATAAATATCGTATTAAAATTGCCAATGCGGGATGAATCTGCAGACTGGTTATATTTGCAATTCACCTTACATAATATTCTCTTAGATTTACGCGAACATTTGAGATATTATAAAAATATAATTTCAAATCTTTTCGATTTATTTTTAACCCACGACGCAAAAAATGGGGTGTTATAAGTTTGACTTCGATGGTTGTCTGTCTCTGTATGTGTGTGTCTGTCTGTGGCATCGTAGCTCTCAAACGGATAGACCGATTTCGATGCGGTTTTTTTCATTTGAAAGCCAGTTTACTTGCAAAAGTTCTCTTCTTCTCTTAGCTATGTTTGGTTAATATTGATCCAGCAGAGTAATAGAATCACCCCCCCCCCCCAACGCGCGTTCACCTTGTCGTGGTGGCGGGGCTCAGTAGTGCCCGGCAATCCAACCGGGCGCGAAGCTAAGAAACGCACAGGGAGGTTGCCCACTGCGGTGGGCGGTGGGAGGTGGCCCTCTTCGGGGGGTGGTGTACCATGCGGGTTGCTCCTGGTACTTCTCTGATAGCAGAGTGGACCATGGAGCAACCCCATGGTTGTGGTGGTCTGCTTCGGCAGACCTGCCGTCGGTGCGTCGTAGTTGAATGCGTAAGCGATCCTGCGACGCCCCATTAAGACGGGGGAAGGTTTTGTTGGGTTTTAGTGGGTAGTACTGGCAGTATTACGCCGTTGAGTCCCACACGTCGTGCGTAAATGCATTTCCCAACGTAAAAAAATAAAAAAATAAAAAAAAAGGGTAAGAGAATCAACTCTTTTCCAAAATGATGTAAGGCATTTTGGTGTATGCAGTTACTCGATTAAGTGTCAATCGTTAAATGACAAATAATTTGCGTAGCGGGTTTTTAAAATTTTTAATTTATTATTATTATTTTCATATTTAGTTCCAGACGTTTTGAATAGTTTACAGCAAAGTTACAGGAGCTACTAAGATTTATGACGTCTCAAAACTCATAATTATTACAAACGTTGTTTTTATGCAATAATATGGAAGAAAATAAAAATGGCACCAACAATAACTATTTTTTTTACTAAATAATTCTAATTCGCATAGCTATAGTTCTACTATTTAAAAATAATTAATTTTAATTGCTATTATAGTGATCTTAATTTTTTTAATATAAAAATAGTTATATTTTAGGTTACCATATTTAAAAAAATAAAAAAATACGTATATCTTTCATTTAATACATTAGTCATCATTATAATAATTGTACATTATAATAATTATATTATAATATACCCAAAAAAAAACTAACTAAATTACTTGTATCCAAAATATCCGCAAAAAAAGTTCAATTAAAAACTTTAGCTTATACCAATATTCCATCGTGTTCCTCTATACAAAGTATATGTATTCAAACTCCAAAGTGATCGGTTGAAGCGTTATCAAAGTCCCTACGAATTATTCAGTTATGTAACTATCGCATAACGGAGACGTTGTTAACAACAACTGTAGACATCCGGTAGGTACTTTACATGAACTTAACATGTAATCTACGTTATATGATATGGAATCTGACAAATCTTTCAGCACACTAACACCTTGTCCTTATTATCTATACATATAATAAAATTCTAACTGAGTCGATCTGTACATTAAATATTTTTTGGAAAATCTTATTGAAGTAGACATTGTTTTCGACACAGAGGCCGAATTTACAGTTTTTAGAATTTTTGTGTGTCTGTCTGTTACCGCATCACGGATAAACCACTGGAGGGATTTTGATGAAATTTGGTATAATGGTAGCTGGTTATCCGGGTCAGCATATAGGATACTTTTTACTGCGGGAACATATTTAACCTCTGAGAAATCTATACTAAACTTTAAAACGTAAGTAGGGACGAACCCGAGCGGAGCGAGGGTGAGTCGCTAGTTAAAAA